CACACACAAACACACACACACAAACACACACACACACACACACACACACACACACACACACACACACCACATCATACATCACACACAAAACAGGTACATCCCATCTAACAGCAAAAGAGGTATAACTTATAACCTCCTTCCAGGAGCTTCCTCCATCTAGTCAGCTCTTTCTATGAAAATATGCTTGGTATAAAAGAGGAGCAAAGTATGCATCAGTTTCTATGCAAGATTTTTTTTTTCTGGCTTTTTGCTTCTAGGTAACTAACTGGCCAATGGTTTGAGATGGATGGACTGCTGGAGAAAGCTGATGAAGTGACTATCTGAAAATAAATATGGACTTGAGATTCTATATTGGGTTGAATGGAGAACTTTTCTTATTTGCACAGCTGTCAATAAGATCTTATAGAAAGATGCAGATTAACACATTTCAAAATATTTGGCCATGAAACAAGAAGGAACAACCATTCAAAAATTGTAAGAATTTGCAAATACAGAATTGGACATATTTTGTGGGAATCATTCTAGACTGAAGATGAGCCACGTAGAAGATGGTGAGGCTCTTCCTAGTGACCCTGTCATCACATATCTGGATCGTGTTTCGTTGTAGCCCCTGTGTATCTTTCAATCTTCTCATCTCTTTATTCATACAAATGTTTATGCTGTACTCCTGGCAAGACTATTTCAAATTTCTATGTCTAGAATAAAATCTTGAAAAGAAAGTGTTACTCAAATATATTTGTTTGATTATTTGTGCTAATTCTGTGTAGATACTGCAGCTAGACTCCATGCCCACCTCTTTCAATCTATGATCTTCAGAAACTGAAAGTTATGAAAACTAGGGATTAGATTTCCCAGAATAAATTACAGATATGCTCTACAAATTCGTTTCCACTAGCTAAATTAATTCATGCAAAATTTGGAAAGCAACGATTATTTTCCTAATCTAGGAACCCCCGAGACAATAAACAAGTAATGTGTCTTCCCATCTCCTAAAACATTGATACCAGTCAATAAAACATTGCAGCTTCTTAAGTGTTACAGGCTGGGCAATGAGGAATCACTGGAGAAATCCACTAATGCTTTCTGCTAAAGCACCTGGGAGTCATTCCCAAAGATTACTGCTTGACAAGCTCACCTGATGTCCCAGAGTTCAGTGACTGCTTTTCTCTCTTCTGCTCCATGATTTGTATAATACGCATGGATCACTTTTGTCTGATTCTCACAAAACACTGGACAGCAATACACTGTGACAATATAGGACATGAGAGTAGATTATTGATGCACTTATGCTAATCAGCTCAGTGTTGCCAATATCTCTAAGAACACAGACCAAAAGACTAGGTATGGATTCCAAAGAAAATTCGGGTGTCCTTAGCAAGAAAAAGTCAATATCCTGAATCAAAAAGGAATGAACATAGTTAACAGAGTTGGATTTTTAAAATGTAAAATGTTGTTTATTGAAATTTTATGAACCATAAAAATAGTTCTAATATTATTTACCATTGAAAATCAGACTTGTAAAGAAGGAAAAACAGGTGAAAATATCTTAAGTATATAAACTGTTTGGTGTTGATAGTGGAATTAGGAAATATGCATGGAAAGCTGCTTGAGGCACTACCAATATTATAATATGCATCACGTTGCATAAAACATACCCTTTAAAAAAAGAGCAACTACAAATATTGCTAGCCTCTCTCCCTAAGGTTGTCTTTACTTCATTCTAGTGCTAAGGATGCATAAGTCATGTGACAGTATTGATTTTCTATAGAGCTTCCCAAATAAGTGTTATGTGCTCTCAAAAACAATAACAATTCATAACAACTTACCCTTAAAAAGAGACTTGTTTCTCATGAAAACAAACAGTTCAACACATTCCTTGGTTTACAACTTCCATGTAACATGAAACTTACAGTCTCTAAAAATTCTTCCCAGGCACTGACAACAGCATTGTAATGGTTAGTTCTGGCTATCAACTCAACACAATGTAGTGTCACCTGGGAAAGGACTATTAGTGACTCTAGATCACAATCTATGGAAATGGGTGTGAGGAATTTTCTTAATTGAATTAAGTGAGGCGTGAGACCCATCCTGAATGTGTATAGCACAATTTCAGGGACCGGGCTCTGAATTGAATGAAAAGAAGAAAGACGTTTGAGCAAGGGCATGTGTACATTCGTATGTTGCACTAGATACCTTTTACTATGGACTTAATATGATGAGTTGTTTCAAGTGTATGTGTGTTATCCTTTATTTCCCCCTCAATGGATTGTAATCTGGAATTGTGAGCCATGAAATCCTTTGCCTCCTAAGTTGCATTTGTCAGTTATTTTGTCAAGCGACAAGAATGAAACTACAGCATTTCTCTCTGGTTATACATTCTTCTCATCTAGTTGCTGCATCTTACCCTTTCTGAGAATTTTGGTGTACCTGATCCCACCTTCAGGATATATTACACAGTCAAAAATTCTGTTCCCAGGTTATATAGCTGGTAAATGATTAATTAAAATGAAAAATGGCATATGGAGCTTTCTCAGAAAATTGGCAATCAATATCCCTCAAGACCCAGCTATACCACTCTTGGGCATATAACCAAGGAATACTCAATCATACCACAAGGACACATGTTCAAGTATGTTCATAGCAACATTATTTGTAATAGCCATAACCTGGAAACAACCTAGATGCCCTTCAACTGAAGAATGGATAGAGAAAATGTGGTACATATACACAGTGGAGTACTACTCAGCAGAGAAAAACAATGACAGCATGAAGTTTGCAGGCAAATGGATGGAACTAGAAAATATCATCCTGAGTGAGGTAACCCAGACTCAGTAAGACAAACATGGTATGTACTTACTCAGAAGTAGATAGTAGATGTAAAGCAAAGGATAATCAGACTGCAACTCATAGCTCCAGGGAGGCTAGCTAGTAAAGAGGACACTAGGAAAGACACAGGGATCACCCAGCAATGGAGAAATGGATGAGATCTACATGAGCAACATGGACGTGAGGGGGGTAATGGAGGGCAAGGGTCAGGGTAAAGATAGCTTAGGGGAGCAGGAGGTCCTAGCTGGATCAGAAACAGAGTGGGAGAACAAGGAAAGAGATACCATGGGATAAATTAACACACCACCAGAATAGGAAGAAGCAGAGTGCTAGAGAGGTCCTCAGGAATCCACAAAGATACCTCCATTATAGTCTACTGGCAATGGTCAAGAGAGTGCCTGAGCTGACCTACTCTGGTGATCGGATGGCCGACCACCCTAACTGTTATGATAGAACCCTCATCCAGTGACTGTTGGAAGCAGAAACAGAGATCCATGGCCCAGCCCCAGGCAGAGCTCCAAGAGTCCAATCAACTAGAGAGAAGAGGGATTCTATGAACAAGAGATATCGAGACCATGGTTGGAAAAAGTACAGAGTCAACTAGCCAACTAGTGGAAACACATGAACTGTGAACCAATAGCTGAGAAGCCCCCATGGAACTGGACCAGGCCCTCTGGATAAGTGAGACAGTTGATTAGCTTGAACTAGTTAGGGGGTTCCCAGGCAATGAGACTGGGGACTGTCCTTAGTGCATGAGCTGGCTCTTTGGAACCTAGGGCCTATGCTGAGAAACTTCAGCCTTGGTACAGGGAGGGGGGACTTGGACCTGCTTCATCTGAATATACCAGGCTCTGCTGACTCCTCAGGGAAGACCTTGCCTTGGAGGAGGTGGGAATGGGGGGTGGGTTGGGTAGGAAGGCTGAGGGATGGGAGGAGGGAGGACAGGGGAATCTGTGGTTGATATGTAAAATGAATAGAAAATCTCTTAATTTAAAAAAAAAAAGCTGACACCATCATATCAAAACAGCTGTAGACAACATATGTGTAAATGAATGGAGAGGCCTCTCTTTCAATAAAAAAAATGATTTACAAAAAAAAAATGAAAAATGGCATAAAGAGTTGAAAGCCTTTCATTGAAAGGTATTTTCTCAGGACATAATAGTATCAAATTCCAGTTTCTCAAAGGGCTTGATTCAAAAGTATCCTTTATAAAGCAAAGTGTGATCTGTGTATGTGTGCATGTGTGTGTACGTTTACATGTGGGGTTTGTGTGTGTGTTGGTATTTTTTGTTATTTTTGTTATGTCAGTGCACCGATACATCAGTAGACACTCAGAATATTTATATTTATATAATATTTATAAATATTTATATTCCTTACAAGACCCGTTCTTCTCTGGTTTATCAAAGAATTTACTGCTTCTCTCTCATTGCATTGTTTCTCTCCTATTACCATACAAGACTTATCAGACTCTCTAATAATATTTCAGTGTCATTCCATAGGAACTTATGCTACGCGTTCAAATTTTTATGAACTGTGGAATAATTCCTAAGGTACGGACCAAGTAGCCTCTTTTAGTCATAATTATATTCTAGCATATTAAAATAAATCCTACATACAAAAGTCGGTCTGCAAAAGTTATTTTAATCGCCATAGTATTTTTATATCTATTAGTACTGTCACAGTCTAGTAAGATGGTAAGAAGCTGTTTTTCACATTACTAGGTCTACACTGTGTCTTGGAAGGAAAAATGACAGTTTGAGATTCATCTCTATATGCTAGATGCTAATGATGGAGTTTGTTACATAATGAATTTGCCATAGGTAGTTATCACACTAAGGAAGGAACACATTTCGTTTCTGTTTTTCTTTATTCAAAATATTTCCTGACTTTTAAAATAAAAAAAATGAACTTGGAATAAATGTCTTCTGAATTCAGAATTTAAAATTCATATAATTTCTTGTCTTTCAATAGCATTTAAACATCATACTTATCTTGTTTATTGAATATACAATCTTACATATCTGTCCCCTTTTTCATACTACAAAGAACATAATGTTTATATATAATAATTTGTGTTGGAGATTTATAAAAGTTAAATATTAAGGAATTTCATAATCTAATTGTATTTATAACATTAAATTTATATAATATGTAAAAAACCAATTTTCTAGTTTCTATATGATTTCTTTTAGATCTTTATACCTGATCTTTTGAGAAATACTTTGACCACATAAATGTAGACATTATTTTGTTATGCATGGAATATAATATGAAGGAAAATTTTCTTCAGAATTGACATATCTGCATTCAAGCTAAAATACGTGAAATTTTCTCTATGTTTGGCACAGCTCTGACAAATTTCTTTGCTGCAATGAATGAAAGTTAATAACTTTAGACATCATGACTAATAGAATGATTTTTATCATACTTTAGATACTGAGATTGAAACATCCCATTCAGAGGGGAAGCTCATTAGGACAGAAAAATAAACAACTTGCAATAGCCTCAGCAAGTTCCTGAAACTGACCAAATTCACAAGATCCATCCCATACTAAATGATATATAAACAGTCCAGACTGCCGAGAGTCGTTCTCAAATGAGCTAAACTGCAATAAAACAGGAAACAATCTACACAGTCGAGAAGAAGCAGAAGCCAGCCAAGCTGACTGGAAGAGGTGGAAAACAACAGAGCCACCTGGTAAGAACATTCTCTAGCCTGTTGAGCTGCCAGTGGGCTCTGTAGTGTGCTTCAGCTTTCAGGGTTTTATGATCTGCCATCCACAATGGTGTGAGGGTTAACAATGCAACCATCTCTGAGTCACTTTCGTTCCTTAAGTAACCCCTTACTCATATTGCTATGAGATCCACCAATAAAACTCCTTGTTTCATCAGGTTGGAGTTCAGTAGTATCTATACTTTTGTCTGTCATGGGTTCCTTATCTAGGGTGAGTAGATGTGTGTGTTTTGTGTTCTGTCACATAAGATTATATGTCAAAATGAAATCTTACTGTAACCTTCGTGTATAACACTAAGTAAAAATAATCAGATATATCTCAATGTGTTTAGAAGTTTATGAAATTTCCTCCTGCGCTTTTATCTGCAGTTCTGTTCAGTGAGAAATTTGGTTATCCTTTTTGGTAAGAAATCTCTTTATTATTGTGACAGAAGCTCTGTTTATTGGGGTCTATGATAATGTGCTGTAAATTTTGTATTCATTTTATTTGATTACTGGTAAGTGGTGGTGTGTGTCCACAAATATATAGCATATAACATATATTCCACTATTAATTCATGTTAAGATATTTAAAAATATCAAGAATGTTAATTCATGTTTCTGATTACCATGGAGTTTCTATGGCACATTTCATCAAAGTCAGTGACATCTAATACTCCTGCAAGCTTTAAAAACTTACCTGGTAAGGAGACATTTTGTTACATAATAATGTAAGCCTTAAATGCTATACAGATTTTGATTAAAAAAATTACAGAAACCAAAAGCATTAAGGAAATGAATATATGAACTAATTAGCAGTAAAATGAAAATATGAATTAAATTTTGTCACCTCTTTAATGATAATCTGACCAATGTTTGGGAAAATCTTAATATACCAATCACTTTAAATAACAAATTTGCCAAAAGTAAACGTTATCATCTATCGATTAATATTTTCCATGTTATCAAGTCAAATTAGGCAATAGTTGCAATCATTTCATCATCAAATCAAAGATATTTATTGCTGTAATGCTATCACCTTTATGAAAATAGAACATCCTACATAGGAACTTTAGGTTTCATAACCAGAGATATACTCAGTCTTCCAGGAAAGCACATGTCATTTCAGATGCTTCAGAACTGGAATGGAGACTGAATGTGCCAACAATCTTTTTGTCTATTAACGTCTTTGGAATAGCTCTGGTTATTTCTTCATAAATTCTAATTCTGTCTGTGTCCCTATAATAAAATACCTTGATTATCTATTTCCTTCACTTGTATAAAGCAAAGCCATTGATAATCAAAGACAAGTTATCCATGGAGCCAACATATCTAGTGCCCCCTAGTGGTAAAACTAAAGTTTTCCCTAAGAGGTGAAGAAAATGCAAATGTTAAACACACAGAAGCAAGGATCACTGTCTACTCTTCATAAGTTAACTTAAAATGCTTTGCTTTCATACTTTACAACCACCAGAGTCGACATTCATATGAAACATGTTCCTCTTCAAGATTTGTAAAATGCTAGTGTTCATTTCTACATGTACTCCAAACTGGTTCTGACAACTGCAGAGTATAAAATAAAACAAACAAAAACCAGTGGGGTAGTGATACCAGCATTGGGGAGGCAGAAACAATGGAGGCCTGATACCCTCTTGCCAGGTCACTAAAATCAGGAGGAGTTCTGGGGTCACTGAGGGGCCCTGTCTGAAAAAAGTAAGATGGAAAAATTCAGGAAAACTTCTAGCATTGACCTCTGGCCTCTATGCACACTCCTACACATATGCATACCTCCACCTCAAACATACACGAAGAAGTTATGAGCAGTAATTTAAAATTAAATGTGTTGCTGCTGCAGTGGTGTTTTTATTTAGCTAAAGGAATAGTTTTCCATTTTAGTAGTGGAGCATAGATCTGTTTAGTGCAAGCATTCCTATGAAGAATAACTTTCTGTCTCATCAGTGCATGCTGAGACGTGTAATTTACTGGCAAAATATATGCATTGCAATATCTATAGGCAATCTAGAGCTCTTTACATTGATCATATCATGTGAGCAAACACATGCACATGCACACCTGGCTTCTGCAGAAATCAATTTTCTATTACATGGTAATGTTAGAAACAGCGATATAAAAAATCAGTAGGAAGAATACGTATCTCATCACTTTTCCGCTAATATCACAGCATCGTGGAGTCAACTGAGATCAGATATTTTCATCTCCCCAGTGTGCTTACATATAAACATATATTCCATAAAACAGAAGGGGACTTAGTCTCACCATCCTCATTAATGTCACCAAAAGTTCTGTATCTAAATTTTCAAGTATTATATTTCAAATGGAACCTGCTGTTGTTTACTTTCTGACATTTTTTTTGTTCCTGTTACATTTATTCTTTATGTACAGAACTGTATTTTAAACTGCTGAATGGAATCTCCCCTGGAAATATAGCAGGTGGTATGATTAATGCAAAACTCACTGATAAGCAGGGCATTTTTATACTTAGAAAAGGAATTCTTTAATTTAAATTCAGAAATTTTGTTTTGCCTTATATCCAATAGAAATTTGTTTTAAAACATTCTATAAATCTGTGCATTGTTTATTGAGCCTCCAGAGATAATTTGGTTTTAGAGATTTGGTAATGTGTATGTTAAAAAGGCTTAATCCTTCTCAACAAGGTTAATTTATTTTGTTTGGCTATATCAAAGTGAAGTTTGGGGAAAAATTAATAAACCAGACCATTTAGGTAGCAGTGCGAACCTGTGAATAGTCTCAGAAGTTCTTTTCAGGAACCATTTTAGGGAAATTAACAAAAGACTACAGTTACTGCCACCAAGTCTTGGGAAGATCCTTGGAAGAAAATATTCTAAAGCAGAGTTAGAGGTATGGACACAGTCCTGTATGAGGTGGACAGGTAGTACATTTACTGCAAACGCGGGATGGCTGTTCTTATAGTCCAAAAGGCTGGCAGTTTATGACGACATGCCTCTCTAACTTCCATATTAATAGAATGGTTAAAATGTTTTTGTGGCATGTAGAAAAGTAATCCTAATTAGATATACTTTAAAAGCACAAAAGAAGATAATGTTAAGTAAAAGCCTTATAATAATAAGTACATGACAGCAAGAAAGAGAAGCACCATGCAATGTGTAACAGTAACAATCTCTACATGCTTAGCGAGTTGTTGGTAAAAGCTAATTACAATCTGTAGTATGTGATTCATAACTTTATGAACAGAATAACAAATTTTAAAATGAGATAGCATATTGTGTTGTGGATAGTGGTGTATAGTGACTCTGAAATAATATGAGATCTCGTCACGGAGGCTGTAATCAGATGTGGTGGAATTGCTGCCATGACTAATTAAACCCTGGAGATTTATAAGAATTATAAAATATAAAATGACCGACTAATTATATAAACATCTAAAGAAGCAGTGAATCGGCTGGCATTTAAATATTGTATTTGAGGATTGATGGAGGCATCATGTCAAAACAGGAGGTTCCTGCCTTCTTTTGACCATAGAAATATCATTATAATTAGTAGATATGAACAAAAATTTCTTAATGAGCTAGATTGCAGCCTGCAGAGTAGTATGAGGCCTTTTATAGGTAGGCAAGAGAGAGCACACTCAGCCTGTGGTTACCTGTGACCCTCAGAAGAAAGCCAGTCTATGGATTCTGACACCAAGTAGCTTAACTCTTGGTTCCTGCATGAATTCTATGTACATATATCCCATGGCTCAAGGTTCATTTGTTAATATGGGCCTCAGGCAAACTCCACTGAGAAATCAAGCATTGAACCACTATCCTACAGGCATAAGAAGCAGGACCTCCCATGCTCACATGTAGAACTGTAGATCATGAAACCAAGCCCAAACATGCCTGATTCTAGCATCCGGGCCATTTGTGTACAGCAACTAACACCAGGCTTGCCTGTCCAATTGAAACAAGGAAGCAGCTAAGAAGCTTCAGTTTGCTGGAGGAGTAAGAAGATTTCCAGGTGTCTAAGATACACTTCCTCTTCCAATGTTCATTCATGCACAGTGCACAAGTTGGGGTTATAAAGAATAAGGCAACAAGGAACACAAGCCACAAACAAATAAATAAATATAGCACCAATAAATCACTTAGCCGTGACACCTAGACTCTGGCTGAAAACTCAAAATCATCATTAAACAACTTACCGAGTGACAAGAGGGCAAAGATAAAAAAAATACATAAATAAATCGGTAAATGAAAAAAGAAAAGGCCCGAATATCAGTTGATATACAACAAAGCAATTATGAAATCAAATCTAGCTAAACAATAAAAACAAAAGCAAAGAAAAACCAAAACACATAACACACACACACACACACACACACACACACACACACACACACACACACACTGGAGAGCTCTTAAGGAGATTAAATCACATGAGGATGAATGAGAAAGTAACAAGCAAGAGGTCAGGACATTTGAAATAATGTAGATAAAGGAAGAAGGTAAAACAGAAATGTAAGGGAAAAACAAAAAGTGACATGAGACTTCTAAGTGATCATGAATCCACCAAACATTTGGTGTGTTAAGAAGAGAGAGAGAGAGAAAGAGAGAGAGAGAGAGAGAGAGAGAGAGAGAGAGAGAGAGAGAGAGACAGAAAGAGAGATTAGTTAAGTCAAATTACAGAACACTTCCCAAAACTGTGAGGCAAACATGGCATAAGGAGCATGATGTTAAAGAAGTTTAGACCCGAAGTCTGTACACAGACACATTACTGATCATCAAAATTCAAGCACACAGAGACTTCTGAAAACATCAAGTGACAAGTAAATTCAGATGTAATGCCAAATACCACTTTCCACTACAGAAACTGAAAATTCTTAGCAAAATGGAAATTTCTATTTCTAGGTAAGAGACATTCAAGATAGGTTAGTAATTTTATTTAATCTTTGGATATTAAGGACCTCATAAAGAAATTAGAGTTTTGCAAAATTAATAAGTAAATAAATTTTTAAAAATTCCATATGATCCAGGGTAAAGTCATTACCATTTAAACTGAAAGCAGAATATTAAACTTCAGTGAAGATAATATTTGCAAGTGAGTGAAACCTTCAACTTACATTCAAGTCCTACTCTGTTTGGGGCTTTAATGATGGCTCATAGGTATCAA